ACAAAAGGATTTGATTTGTACAGGTTTTCTGTAAGTTTTGCCTTGGCTCTTGCTTTCTCTTAAGATGCCAGTAAAAACTTGCTTTGCATATTTAGTTATTCTGAATGGCTGAATGGGTTTTATTTGAATATGGTTCTATTGAAACAGGATGACTGGGCTGGGGATGTGGCTCGAGCGGTAGCGCGCTCGCCTGGCATGCGTGCGGCCCGGGTTCGATCCTCAGCACCACATACCAACAAAGATGTTGTGTCCGCCGAGAACTGAAAAATAAATATTAAAAAAAAAAAGAAACAGGATGACTGGAGGCTTCATGTTTTCACAATTGCAGCGGGCAAGGCTCAAATGCACACCCTCAAACATCCTATTGTTGGACTGATGATTGATTAACTCAAATTAAAACTGTCCCTCTGATGGATTAGCTAAGGTAGGAACTTTAGTCCCCCTGAAACTAGTTAACTGCAGAGTAAATCATTTCCTGTTCAGATGACTGAGACTTCCCCTTTAGCAAAACAACCCCAACAGTTAGATGCAAGTTTTTGATGTTCCCTATAAAAGACCAAGGCAAAACCACTCTCCTAGGACACTCTGATCCTGAGATCTAGGTGCTCTCCCTATTATAGTAGCGGAAATAAAGTCCTCCTTTCTCATCTAACTTTTGTCCTCAGTGCGTCAATGGAGGCAGCAGAGCATCTCTTTGGAAATCTGAGGTGTAACAGCTTCCTTCCACACTCTTTGTTCATTTCTCTTGCTTTTTCTTCCAATCAACAAATATTCTTGACTTACAGGGCAATCCACAGCATCATCCTGCTCATGCCACACGGATGTCCACCATGTTCCCACCTCTAAGGTCCCAGTACTCTGCTGAGCTTGTTCTTTCTCCAGGTATCTTCTACTTGGATCCCTTGCTTGATATCTCAGCATGGCTGTTCCCATCTACAAGGGCTGACGGCACTTCCAGAACTCAACCCTCCCTGACCCACTACTACAATTTTCTCTCTCCTTCACTTGAAGATAAACTCCATCAGGCCAGATGCCTAGAGAGTCATCTGGCACAAGGTACAGACTTAGTAGGTCCCCCACCATGGCCAATCATCATGTCGCCATGGGACACAGCACAGGGAGACACATTGGGGATAGTCACACAGGCTCAGGAGCCCTGTTGTAGGGAATTTTGATAATATAAAGCACAGTAAACATTGCAAAGAAAAAGTAAAAGTCAGAAATGGTAGTCAGTGTTCAGAATTGTAAACAAGGCTATTCTGTTAAAAGATAGTAAGCTGCCAATAATGATATTTTGATTCTTAACAGCCAGGTCTGGGCATGTTCAGCCGAAGGTTCATGAAGCAGGCTAAAATTCTCTTATCAGGGATCTGGTATCAGGATAATAAAGGCCATTTAGAGAGCAGGCAAGCTAGGTACTTATTGGGGAAAGGACAGAACTACGTTCCTGGTGTGAGGAATGCCTGCTCTGTAGGTCATTTTTTATAGAAATAACTCTGCCATGATATTCTGCCACACCATTGGTCCAACAGTGATGAAGCCAGCAAACTACCACAGACTGAAACCATTAACCAAAGTAAATCTTTTCTCCTTTTAAGTTGCTTATCTCCGGTAATTTGTCATAGTGACACAAAGCTGACTAACACACTGAGCCACTGAATCATCAAATTGGACATACACATTGATCTTTGGCTATGAAGTTTGTCAGACCAGACCTATCTGAATAGGTCTAGAAGGTATACACAAATTGCAGTAGGAAGTAACTCAAATCCCTGAGTGGCTGATTCTGCAGCTTGTCCACCTCTCTCCTTCATCCCACACCCATGGATGGCCCTATGTCCAAAGTATACCCGACTAATGTGAGTTCAAGCAGAACAGAATCCTCATGTAGAACAGAGGGGCAGATATACCCTCATCTGAATTCTCATGGTAACTTCAGACTATGAAAGTGTGTTCTCATGGTCCCTGTGACTTTTAGAGTCTGTGATCAGRGGTCAGGAAAACTACAAGGACCACTGGCTTATGAGAGTCCAACTGCCTAACAAAGCCATGAGTTGTTCCTCCAATGYTGTCTTAAAATCATCATGAAACAGGATTTCACATGCATTGGATTTTTTCCCTTACGAATTCTGGAGAAAGGATCAGGAGGGAGTATGGACAAGCTTTTGTCACCTCCTAATGACAGGAAAGCCGTTGACAATTTCAATGTCTCCTTTATTCAGAAGTGGGCCTTTCCTTGGCTGAGGAGCTAAAACAGTGGATGGAGCTGAGTATCTTCCATCTGTCCTCCAGACCCACTTCCATCCTGGTCTTCCTGCTCTTGGTCCCAATATGCTGACCTRTATGGACAGTGCTAACACTTCCTTTTGCCCTCTGGCTTCCGGTTGCTTCAGCCAATGTGAGAACTAAGAGAAGTCACAGGGAGGGCAGGAGAAGACTCTCAATTCCCACAGCTTCCTGTCTACACAGAAGGCCAYGGCTCCAGTCATCTCACCAGGTCCCTCTGGGCCCCACTGTGAAAGGTTCTACTGTCCTCTGGCATCGCCATGCTGAGAACCAAGCTTCCAGCACGTGAACCCTGGGGGGACACCCTCAAGGTTACCTGAGTAAAAAGCCAGAAACATGGATGTATCAGAGAGAGAGAGAGAGACCTGAGTTGAAGGACTCAAAATGCAGGTACGAGGGACCACGATTAGGGTGTGATAGAGAGATCGAATACAAGGAAGTTGGTGTGGGTCACAGAAATCAAATATTTGCTTGTTAGGGAAGTCTGAAGGGGTATGAGGAGTAAGAGGGGAGAAATGAGCCATGAGCTAAGGCCTTGGAATGAGAAGGGACAACTGAAGGGTTGTGGAGAGGCAGGAGGTGGAGAGAAGGGCTCGAGTTTTTAAAGGAGAGAGGCACTGAAAGAACAGACGTGACCTGGAGGCAGCACAAGGTGCAAGGGAGACATCAGTGTCACCTCTAGGCAGAAAACATGTAGGAAAGAGGGGGACACAATGCCTTTAGTGAAAGGGTGTCAGGGGATCTAAGCTTCCAAGAGGCCAAGTCAAGAGGACACGGAGCTGGGAAGCGCTTCCCTGCACTGACAAACATGGTGGGGCAGGGGGTTCTTCTACAGAGCGCAAGGTCAGTGGCACACAGATGGATCCATGGGGTGTCATCTGAGACCACATTTTAAAATAAGAACAGGTTTTGCTGTTTTTTGTTTTGTTTTGTTTGTTTATTTTTTGGTGGTGCTGGGAATTGAACAGAGGACYTTATGCATGCAAGGCAAACACTCTACCAACTGAGCTATATCCCTGGGCCAAGGACCTGAACAGACACTTCTTAGAAGAGGATATACAATCAATCAACAAATATATGAAAAAAATTCTTAGCATCTCTAGCAATTAGAGAAATGCAAATCAAAACTACTCTAACATTTCATCTCACTCCAGTCAGAATGGCAGCTATTATGAAGACAAACAACAATAAGTGTTGGCGAGAATGTAGGAAAAAAGGTTCACTCATATATTGCTGGTGGGACTGCAAATTGGTGCAGCCAATATGGAAAGCAGTATGGAGAATCCKTGGAAATCTGGGAATGGAACCACCATTTGACCCAGCTATCCCTCTCCTCGGACTATACCCAAAGAACTTAAAAACAGCATACTACAGGGACACAGCCACATCAATGTTTATAGCAGCACAGTTCACAATAGCTAAACTGTGGAGCCAACCTATATGCCCTTCAGTGGATGAATGGATAAAAAAAATGTGGCATATATACACAATGGAATTTTACTCAGCAATAAAAGAGAGTAAAATCATGGCATTTGCAGGTAAATGGATGACATTGGAGAAGATAATGCTAAGTGAAGTTAGCCAATCCCMAAAAAACAAATGCCGAATGTTTTCTCTAATATAAGGAGGCTGACTCATAGTGGGGTAGGGAGGGGGAACATGGGAGGAATAGATGAATTCTAGATAGGGCAGAGGGGTGGGAGGGGAAGGGAGGGGGCAGAGGATTAGCAATCATGGTGAAATGTGATAGACATCATCATCCAAAGTACATGTATRAAGACACAAATTGGGTGTCAACCTACTCTATATACAGAGATATGAAAAACCGTGGTATATGTGTGTAATAAGAATTGTAATGCATTCTGCTGTCATTTTTTAAATCAATAAAAAATGAAAGAACAGGCTTTACATGTCACCTTTGCTGTCAAGGAATTCAAAGATGACTCATGAATCCAGACAGTATATTCTCATAAAGTCTCCCTACCTTTTAGAACGGATGCAGATTGCCCTTCACAAGTGCATACTCTTGCCCATGCCTGGGGGGTGTCAGCCACAGAAATGGAACTAAAAAGGTCTCCTACTTCCCAGTTTTTAGTGCACTCAGCATCTTAAACTTTTTGATGTTAGACATGTTCTACAATTGTTACTTCTGAGCAGAGTTCCCAGTAAACATTTTCATCTCAAGTTTTTGTGCACAGACAACCAAAAACGAAAGAAGAGGTCTTCCTCTTGGGCACAGCCATGGYATTGATGAAGGAGAGCAGAGCAGACCTAAGCTAAAGCACTCTCTCAGCTAAAGAGGCTCTCTCTGCCTCTCTTCTCATTATTTCAGACTCAAATGGAATGGTCCAGAAAGGAACCACATCTAATAAACATTGACTGAAACATCGGAGTCCCACGGGAAGGGGTTAGCTGAGTATATCAACCACACTTCTTTGTGATTGATGGAAATAGCATGCCTGACTTTCAAAGTGGAAAATTATTACTCTTGGCTGGTAGATATGTAAATTGTTATTTAAAAGACACTTATGATCTTCTGCAAGTCAAATTTCTAGACTTTTAAATGATAACTTAAACACTCCAGAGAAGAACGTAAATGGAGAAAATGAAAATGTAACATAATGTAAACTACTTAAAACCCAAGAAACTAATAAATTCCAAAAACCTTTTGTCAAGGAACACTTTATTTTTTAAAAAATAGATGAAATGTTTCCTTACAAGTGGTATGCTTTTTTTTTTTCCCAGAAAGAATCTATATTCAGGGGCACACCATTTGAATGCTGATTATTTTAACATGAAAATTGAATACATAAAGAAAAACTGTCTTTAGTTTCAGGAGAAGTGACAATCAAATAGCACAAGCTATTTTGAGTAGATTTGTGCCTTTTTCTACACAGGATAGCAAGAAGTGTTTTTGAAACATACATATTTTCCAGTAGGGGACTCTTGGGTAAGTTATCTTGTATTGCCTATACTTTTGTCCCCCTGCCAACCCCATCTCAGGGAGAAATAGCATAAAGAGAACACCATGATTTTCCMGCATTCATTCAATCAAGAGTGTGTGTGAATGCCAAAGGTCCGTTCCAGCGCATCTCCATGCAGCACCATCCCAGGATAAGCACCTTTTCTTCTCCAAAGAGTGGTCCTGGGGTAGTTTTATGTCAGATGTTGGTGATGGACCAGGTATCCCTTAATCTTCCGTTGATGGATACCTATTCATTCCATCCCACTACAACATGAGCAACAAGGAGATAACACATCCCRACAGTGCAGGACACCACCATCATCGGGAAGCCCAACCTAAAATACAAAAAGAGATGGGTTATGGCATGTAGTGTCTGGTGAGAACCATGAAATGTGGACTCATTATTATTATGTTACTGCCAATGAATATAACCATTATTATTATTTTTTGTTTTTAGAAATTAAACTARTTTTACCTTAGATGATGAAGATGCATGCTTCTATTAGCTATCTCCCGTTGTGTGCAATTTTATTTGACACCCATCCACTTAAAATTTTTTGTCAAGGATATTTGCAGCTTCAGTTTATCCATTCACAAGATTAAAGGGTCTTCTACTCACACTATCAATGTCATGTATTGGGCCACTATTTACATCTCTGCATGTTTCCTTTAGCTGTGTCAAGTTTCAATTATCCTTCTCTAGAGATTTCCTGGAGAGGCCACATTCCCATTGACTCCTGAAGCCCCTTACACTTAATGTTGGGGGAGTTTGAGAGATAAAATTGAAAGATAAGGGCTTCTCTCATCTAAGAAAGGTAAGAGAGATGAACGGTATTTCCTCCTGTATTCGGTGAGGTGTGAGATGTCTGAATAGGTATGCACCAATGTAAAACAGTCATAAGAAGATGAAAGGTCCCCTCATTGTGAGCACCCCCACCCAGCACACACATATTTCCACAAATTCTTATCTTAACTTACAAATTCTCATAGATTCCCCTTCGGTGTTTGGAATCCACACCCTGTAGCCATTGAGTAATGTTGCTTTGTCACTAAAGAGAGTCCCTGCAAAGCTCCTAGTTTTGATTCCAAAAGGCTTTAGTGTTCAACAGCAAGAACCTAGTATGTGATAATTATAATTATAGGGATWATGACACTCTTCATTTCCTGGCCATGGACATGAGACAAAGCTATTCAGAAAGAGCCACAGCAAGGTTCTCTCTACAAAGCTGTAATTCAACACAGGAATCACATTCATGAGTGAAACGGCTCCTTAAATCCTGGGGCAAACTTGGATATTTCAAAGAAGCAATAGGATGCTCTGAGTTTCTCTTGTGAACATGTTTCTTTGATCTTGCAACCTGTACACTTGGAAAAATGAAATTATACCCCATTTGATTCAAATGTATGATATGTCAAGATCATTATATCGTCATGAGCAACTAATTAAAAAAAAGTACTTTTCAAGTACTTTTTTTTCAAGTTATTTAAATGTCCAGGGATTTATCCACTTTGGTTTTGTAAAGCATATTAGCAAAATGTCAGTCGTGGTCAAAAAACCAAAATCTATGGTCAACATGAGGCATCATACACACMATCAGAAGCCTCCATGGAAAAGAAACACCTTCTTTCCACTCTGATACATTTTGTAGAATGGGTCACTGTCAAGAGAATATTGACTCTCCCAGCTGGGGCTCTGAGACACCTGGCCACGTTTCAGAAGAAAATCGACATTGCCAAGGAATAGATCCCACAGAAATCAGACCTTGCTCTTGGGGATCCCAAGCCTGGAGAAAGTTCCTCATGAGTGGTTCTCCTATGCAGAAGAAAAGGAGAGCCACTGGTTTCTCAGGGATGGCACCAGCCCTGGAAGGAGCTTCACCTAGGGACTGGTGCAAGTACTTAGGTTCCATCAGCATCACTGTCACTCCTATCTAAGCATCTACAATATCTAAGCTCTGCATTCACATGGCACCATCACTGACTTTATCACCTCCTGAATCTAGCATCATCACACCCACTATGCAGAGGGGATTTGGAGAAGGAAGCTGGCTTGCCCGGGACCGTTAGCTAGTTTTATATAGTGTGAAAATCCAAACTCTCTCAGGCCAGTTCTAATGTTCATATTTTTAATTGTTACATACACTGCTTCCCTGTGAATATAGACAAATTATAACAATGAAGACACTCCATGAAAAACTAAATAACTGTTTGAATATCTGCCATATGCTAAGAACCACATAAACATAGACATGGATGTTTTCTATTATTTTCTAAACAAAACAAGGCATTTCATATTATCTCTTACATAGAGATGGGGGGAGAAATGAAGCTTGGACATATTAAGAAATTTAKTAAAGACCAATACCACTAAGAAGCAGAGATTACATTTTGATATTTTTCTAGCTTCAAACCGTACATGCAGACCCMCACATATAGATAGGTAACACAAAATACAATTTAAGAATTCTTATTTTCAATCCTGCTTTTGTCCARATCCCTATTTGGGGAAAGTTTTGAACATCTCCATGATTCTAATTCTTTATCTATAATATGCAGTAATAATAGTACCTACTTACCAAGGTTGTTATGAGGATTGCATGTGTCCACCTGTGTCAGTTCATTAGAACAGGGTCTGGCCACATCAATGAGCCCTCAGCAAATGCTAGCCCCCAGTCAGGCACCTGCCTCAGAGTGTCTGCTGACCAGCGTTTTAGTACAAAACCACAGAGTGAGAATGGAGTGCCTGTTTTTTTGGATCAGAAGATGCATTTGATGGTGAAGAATTGAATAACACAGRTACAGATTTACTAGAGAATAGAATATCATTGTTTAATTCTCAGAAACTATAGAACAGACTTGAATTCTRGAGAAAGATGAAACAGGTACAGTTCTTCTTGTCCTTCCCACCAAGCACAGCTAACAAGCCTGGTCATTAGATAGAAGGCAAACACAAGAGGGCGCTGAAGACCTTGAAGGGGAGAAAGCAGACCAGCTGGGAACTTTGGGACCTGGAAGTAGGTCATGGCAGTGAGCTTCCCCTCCTAGGTCCCTCATGTGTGGGAAGCTCACACATGGGAGACTCAATGGACAGTAGACCCCTAAAATAAGAAAGACTACAACAAAAGCTTGCTCTCTCTAACCAAAGGACCAGAGAAAGGTCAGCACAGTCAGATAGAAATCTTTTAGAGAATAGCTGCCTAGCTCCAACCAAATACCACAGGAAATTCTTTAAAAGCTGCATTCCATCCCCTGGGCAAAGGTCAAGTGGAGGAGCAGAACTTCCACCTTCCCCAGGCTGTTCAGAGGCTCCCCTCCTAGGATGTCAGTGGAGAGAAATGGGAATCATGAACCCTCACTCTCTACCTGGAAGGGAAGAGGTCCTCTTTCCTGCACTGGGGAACTTCATAAATCTTGAAACTATGTGACATGGGTTTCAAAGCAAACATTGTAAGAATTATTCATCAAACAATTACCATCACACTTGAAACAAATGAAAAAAAATCAAGTCTCAGAAAATAAATACAAGAAGTAAAGGAAAACCAAATGGAAATTTTAGAAATTAAAATGAGACAAACAACAACAAAAAATATGGCCACAATAACATTACAGAGAATATTAAACAAACAATCAGTGAACTCGAAGGCACAACAGAAATTGTCCATCTGGACAACAGAGAAAAAATAAGACTGGGCTGTTAAAACAAACAAACAAACTTTGAAGGACCTGGAACATGAAAAAAAAAAAAAAAGAGAGAGAGAACTAACATTTATGTCAGGAGAGCCTCAAAATGGGTGGAGAAAAAAGGAAGAGATGAAAAACTATTCAAAAAATAATGAATGTATTTTGGTAAAAAATATAAACTTGAAGATTCAAGAAGCCAAGCAAACCCTTAAAAGGACAGGACCCCCCTAAAATAAATCTATGCCCAGTTAAAACATAATCAAGCTCCTGATGTTATAGTTGAGATATGAAGTGTCCCCCAAAAGCTCATTGTGAGACAATGCAAGAAGGCTTAGACGTGAAATGATTGGGTCATGAGAGCCTTAATCCAACCAGTGCATTAATCCCCTGATAAGGATTAACTTGGTGGTAACTGAAGGCAGGTGGGGGTGTGGCTGGAGAAGGGAGGTCATTGGGGGCATGCCTTTGGGGTATATATTTTRCCCACCATGAGGAGGGTCTCTCTCTTTCTTCTTCCTGGTATGATGTCCTGAGTCACTTTTTTCCACCCCACTCTTCTGCCATGATGTTCTGCCTCCCCTTAGGCCCAGAGCAATGAACCTGGTTGTTCTAAGGACTGAGACCTGGGAAACCATGAGCCCCAAAATGAACTTTTCTTCCTCTAATTTTTTTTTGCCAGATCTTTTGGTCACAGCAGTAAAAAAAAGCTAACTGAAACACCTGACAACTAAAGAAAATTTTAAAAATTAAAAGTAACAAGAGATAAATTACATTTATGTATAGATAAAAATAGCATTTTTTTCCCTTCAGACTCCACAGAGGCCTGCAGGAAGCAGAACAACATTTTTCCATTGCTGAAAGATACGATCTAACAACACAGATTTATATATTCATCAAATACAGTYCTCAGAAATGAAGAAGTCAAGACATTCTCAGATGAAGTAAAACCAAAAGGGCAGCAGACATACCCTAAAACAGTTGCTTAAAAGATCTTCAAACATAAAATGACAAAAGAAAGAATCTTGCAGCATCAGGAAGGAAGAACAAACTAATAAACATAAATACGGGTAAGTACTGTCAACTTGCTTTCTCCTCTTAAATTATTAACTGTGTGGTAGTTGAAGCAAAAATTATTTCAAAATAGCTATCACCAAGGATTTTAAATATTCTACCACAAAGAAATGATCAGTGTTTAAGGTGATAGATGTGGTAATCACTCCAATTTGATCATTACAAGATGTTCATGTTCATCAAAACATCATATTCTACCCTATATTTATGTACAATTATTATGTGCCAATTCAAAATAAATTTTAAACAAAACATTATGATTTTGATGTGATTCTCAAGGAATACACTGGAATACTTATAGTAATTATATTGTGAATGGATGAATATTAAGAGAAGCTAGATTTCCACACCCTCTTTGAACTGGCAAAGGGAAACACCAGTTGACTGTGTTAAGTTGYGTGTATACATAGAATAGCACCTAGAGCCACTACTAAAAAGTGTAGAGAAAGAGGTGGACTCAGAGACACTCAAGACAGAGCAGAATGGAATTCTAAGGAGTCATCCAGGAAGGCAGTAAAAATAGACAAACTAAAAAGAGAGTTAATTAACCAAAAAGAAAAATAAGATAGCAGATATAATAATC